AAATATCACCTCAAGCCCATGAGAATGGCTAAAATGTAAAGGGCCATACTAAGTGTTGTGGAAGATGTGATGTTGAGTGATGGGAGCCCTTACACACTGCTGGGCAGAGTACAAATTGGTACATCCTTTTTTTTTTCAGAGGCAGGGTTTTGCTCTGTCTTCCAGGCTGGAGTGCAGTGGCACAATCATGGCTCACTGCAGCCTCCTGGGCTCAAGCAAGCCTCTTGCCGCAGCTTCCCCAGTAGCTGGGTCTACAGGTGCACAACACCATGCCTGGCTAATTTTTAAATATTTTATAAAGATGGGGTTTCACTATATTGTTTAGGCTGGTCTCAAACTCCTGGCACGAAGTGATCCTCCCTCCTTGGCCTCCCAAAGTGCTGGGATTATAGGTGTGAGCCACCACGCGTGGCCCAGTACATCCCCTTTAGAGAACTACTTGGCAGAATTCACATTCTCAATGACACAGCAATTCCCCTCCTACTATTAATATATCCCCAACAGAAGCGCACATGTACATAACCAAAACACACACCCAAGGATGTCAGAGCAACATCATGCATATCAACTCCACTGGACATTAGCCAGAGTTTCTCAAGAGCTGGAAGCAGAGACAGTAAGGTACTCACATAATAAAATACAGTAGTTCTCAACGGGTGTCTTCAGACCAGCAGCATCAGTATCGGGGGAACGTTAGAAATGCTAGCTCTCACCCCACTGCAGACCTGGGGAGTCGGACCCGGATGTACCCAGCTTGCTTCAGCAAGCCCTCCGGCTCCAAGGCCAGCCAGAGCTTCAGAGCCACCGCCCTGCAGCAACACCTGGGGAGCCCGGCCACACTGAGGAAGATGGGTGGTTGACAATAGGTGTATAGAAAACGAAGCAAATGAAGAAAAACAAAATAAAACATGCTTTTTAACTTTAAGGAAAATCTAAATTGCGTTAGAAAAGAATATACCGCTCAGCTCAGGTGTGAGTTACTTTTGTGTGGCCATCCTGACGTGGACCCAAACAGGCAAAGCAGCTACAGGTGTAACACAGAATGTCCAAAACGGGGTACCCGGGGAAGAGTGGCAGAAGTACATTAACTTAGAAAATGGGTGTAACTCTCAAAAAACTGAAAACAATTTTCAATTCGTCCTGGGCTAGGACAGGATGTTGCTGTTCTTCAGGACGGTCCTTTTAGTGTTACTTTGCTTATTAAATCCCCTGCATGAAAAACTGGTAAAAAGGAAACTCACAAGTGAAAAGCAACACTGTGCTGGCAAAGCCAGACAGCTGAGTGGGCAAGGTGGGGTCAGAGCCCACCAACGTGTGCTTCCTGCTCCAGGAGCCAGAGGTGACAGCACCACAGTCACAGGACCCGCTGTGGGGAGAGAGCCCGCCCAGACCAGGGACGAGCCCAGACCAGGGACAAGCGCAGCTGTGAAGACCCCCGGTCAGGGCAAGGGGTGCAGGGGAGACGGGAAGGCCAGCGGGAGGGAGGGGTTCGGCAGCTGGGCTCTGGCGGGAGGGTGCGGTTCTCAGCCAGAGGCCAGGGGAAAGGCAGGAAAACGCAACGCGTGTTTGGGAAACAGAGCAGGTAGCTGGATGCAGCTGGACAACAGGGCCCTTCTCAAGGCCAGGCCTCAGGAAACCCAGTCCCCTGGGTGTGCAGGGCCAACCAGAGGACAGACAGTCCGCAGTGCTGAGGGTAGACGGGGGTGGAGTGCCGGGTTTGTGTTTTTGGGCTTTGTCCTAAGATTTTGTTGGGAGTAAACAGAGACGAATTGGCTGGGGGGCTAATGAAGCTTAAGCGCCAACACTGCCCCACTGCGCGCAAGGGGCCCTAGCAAAGCGTTCACAAGGTCGTACCCAAATACCTTTTAGAAATGTGCACAAGTACCTAACTGTCTTTCCCCACTAGGGCCCCTCTCTGTCAGACTGTGCTAGGAGGCGCTGGCGCACACACCAGCAGCTTGGCCAAAGGGAAGCTGAGCAGATGGCACGCCTCTGGAGCCTGCCTCGCATCGGTCTGCAAGTCACTGGTAGCCGCCCAGTGTAGGAACGGCTTCCAGAAACGCTCCTCCTGTCTGCCACGCCCACTGGCTGACCTGGCAGGGGGCCGTGAATGTGCAGGACCAGGGAGGAGCAGGTGAGTGTACCCGTAGCAGCTGCCACCGAAACCGTGTGAATCACGGAAAGCAACGAGGTTTCAACTGAATGGAACCAGAAGTGAGTCTGTGGAAAACCTTCCACATCTTACAACTAACATATAAAAGAAAATTGATAGAAGCCTCTCAATTTGACCACAATCCTAAAAAGTTATATGGCCAATTGCTCCCAGTAACAAATCTGAAGCCTAAATAAACTTTTCTAAATTAACAATAAGAAATTTCAACCAGCCATGCTACAGGAAAGGCAGAATTATCTTTCTATTCTCTTGCTAGAAAATACTACAAAATCATTGTCATTCGAAGACACAGAGTATGAAGCCAAAAATGGGTGAAAAACATGTTACAAAAGATTGAGAAGCAGTAAAAAAAGTTACTTTTTTTGTATTTTGTGAAATTGGTGGTATTTTTTAGCATCTTAAAATTTATTACAGTTGAGATCGTTCTTATTCTAAATAAATAACTTCTTGCATGTCAGTTTAAGTTTATAATTATCTGTTCTCTTTAAGAGAACCCCTAAATTGTCTAAGCTTCAGGTCCAACAAAACCTGGATCCACCTGCAGGGGAGTTAGAAAAGCGGAGTTGCCTAGCATACTCCTGCTCACACATGACAGGCATCAATGCCAATGAAGAGCATTATTTCGACTTGTGAGGGTGGCTAGGCAGGGCTGTGGTCACCCCTCTCAAACCCAGCAGCCAGGGAGGAGGCACCGCAGTGGTGGGATGGCTGGGCCCCTAGGCAGGGAGGACTCCAGGGAGTGCCGAAGGAATGGGTGTCTGCGAGGCACAGTCCCTTGGGGCAGAGAGGCCTCCCAGGAGGGGCGGAGAGGAGGTGGCAGCCGACTGTCCAGGGCCACCTGGACTAGAACCAGTGTCCGTGAGATGAGTCGCAGTGGACGTTCATCTCTCAGGAGGTCCCTCCCTAGCCCCACGTCTCAGCATCCAGAACCCAGACTCATCTCGGGACCAGCAAACAATAAAAGAACAGAACACTGGGCCCTGGTCAGAGGGTGGGCATCTGAGGCCACGATGACTGTGCCAAGCACGCCCTCAGCCAAGGAGGTCCCACAAGGGGTCACCACACACTCTTTGTCCGCCCTCACTGAACTATCTGGCTCAAGGCTATGTTTTCCCCAGTGAGTATTGGGACTGCTGTAAGGACATGATGAAGACAATCTGTCCCTCTGCACACAGGTTCCTATGACCTTGTGTGGCTTCTGTTCGTCTCAGCCACAGACCGATCTGCTGTCCGTCACCCAGGGTGGGCAGGCAGGAAGCATCAGCATGATGCCTGAGAGGGAGCCCCAGCCTGGGCTTCCTGACCAGCCAGACTCCTAATGGCAGAATCTTTATTTCAACCTTCCCCCCTCTTTTAAAAAAAAAGCTTTTTGTTGTTGTTGGCAAGTTGCAAAAAAAAAAAAAAAACATAAAATATCTCTTAAATAATAAAATTCATAGGGCCCTTAGAACTGTGCCTGCTATATTGCAAGTTCCACAAGCATTTGTTAAATAATTTAAAAAAATTTTTTTAAACCTTGTTTCTTCAAGGATCTAAACTTGAAAGCCACAGTAACCCATAACTTAGCTCATAACCTAACCGGCCAGGGTTTACACAGTAGCGTCTAAATCCCAAACTGGCTTCTGAATGTCTAAGGCAGAAAAGGCTCACGGTGGAAGCCAACAGTCCCGCACGCGCGGAGGATGCTGGTCCGGCGGGAAGATTGCGGGCCTCCCCGCCGGTCGGACTGGCAGCGCGGCTGGGCCCCCTTCCCTTAGAGGGCAAGGTGATGGGGCCCCAGGGTAAAGTTTCGCCACACTCTTCATCCATCCATTCTTTATAGGCTGAGTCTTTGGTCCTTAAAATCACAGAGGAAAAGAAGACCCTTTAAAATGTGTCTAAGCAGTGTTGCAGATTAATTTTTAAAGGGGATTAGAGGACTTGCACTAAGGTAAAGCACTAGCCACTTTGCATGTAACAAATTTAAGATTGGTAACAGTCCGATTTAAACACCCAGGGAAAACTAGGTGCATTTTCCGACTGTTACATTTGAGGAAAAAAACGCCGTTAGGATATAAAGGGTCAATCTGCCCACACCACTCCTGTCCGGCAAATCGCCAGAACACATTCGCGCAGCTGACCGGCGGAGCGGCGCCGCCTGGGCGAGGCCGGAGCCGGCGCGGAGACGAGGGCTACCGCAGGAGCTGCGCTCCGTCTCAGCTCCTCGCCAGTTTTCTTCAGTCTGCCGCTCGGTTTTCGTCCTTCCGGGCCGGGCCGGGCCGCGCGCAAGGGCCTCCTGACGCTGAGTGCGCCAAGCACCTAGAGGAACCCTCCCGGGCTGCGGGTCTGGCAGGCACGGGCTCAGGACGCCTAGGGCAGGGCCAACAAACTGCCACGCTGCCAGATGCCCACGCGGCTGGGGCTCCGACCCCGCCGGGTCAGTTCAAAGTCCTTAAAAGCAAACAGCTGGAAAAGTAGAGCTCTAGCCTTGGAGGGCCTTTCCACTGCCAAAGGACAGGGCCGGCCGCGCCGGGACGGACGCGGGCGCCCTGCCGCGGGCGAAGGGAACGAAGGTGTGTCCAGGCAGCAAACGCGAAGACTTCTCTGCATCCCGCCCCGGCACCCCACCCGGCTCTGCAGACACCAGGCGCCCGCCTGCTCCGCACCGAGGAAGCCCGGGCGCAACCGCGCTCCGGGGACAGGCTCCGCGCGGCCGCCCGGACGCCTGCGGGCCCTGCAGAAGTTCCGAGTGGGCGTGACGCGGCCAGAGCGCCAGCCCGGCCCGGCCCGGCCCGCCGGCTGCACTCCCGGCCCTCCGAGCCCGCCCAGCCCAAGGCCGCGCGCTCACCTGGCCCGCGCGCGACGCCAGCTGCACCGCCGCCTCGAAGCACTCCTCCCAGGGGCCCGCGCCGGGCGCCGCCCCCGCCTCGCCGCTCGGCCTCATCGCCGCCTCGCCGGGCCCTGCCACCTCCAGCCCTCTTTCGCGGGCCCAGGGACGAGACCCCAGCATCCACCGACACCAGGCCCCGCTCGCCCTCCACGTGCTCCCGCGCCTCCGCCGCCAGCCCCACAGCCGCGCGGGCGAGAAGGGCAGCGAGCCCGAGGCGCCGAACGGCCCGCTCGCGACCCGCGCGCCGCGCCGCCGACGAGTCCCGAGCCGTCAGCGCCGACCGCCCCAGGGCGCGTCCCGGCCACGGCGGGCGCCGAGTCTCGCCGCCTCCGCGCCACCCCGCGCCGCGCGCTGGAGGGCGCCGGGACGGCGAGGCTGGGTCCCGGGCAACGGGAGCGGCGGAGGCGGCGACTCCAGGCCGGGCGGAGGTGCAGGCATCCCGAGCCGCTGTCCGCCCGGCGGCGGCGCGCGTGGCGCGAGGCGTCCTGGCCCGTGGCCGGCGCGCTGGGCCTGGGCGCGGGCCCGGCCGAGTCCGCGCCTCGCGACGGGGCGCTCTCTGCTAGCGCGAGGCCGCGGCGCCCGTCCTGCGGGCCGCCAAGCCAGGTGTTCCCGCGGGCGTCCTGAGGGACGCCAAGCCAGGTGTTCCCGCGGGGCCCGTCCTGCGGGCCGCCAAGCCAGGTGTTCCCGCGGGGCCCGTCCTGAGGGACGCGGAGCCAGGTGTTCCCGCGGGGCCCGTCCTGAGGGACGCCGAGCCAGGTGTTCCCGCGGGGCCCGTCCTGCGGGCCGCCGAGCCAGGTGTTCCCGTGGCGCCCGTCGTGCGGGCCGCCAAGCCAGGTGTTCCCGTGGCGCGCGGGGTCTCGGGTTGCGAACGAGCTTTCACACCAGCTAAAACCTAGCGGCGGCAGTGACTGGGTTTGATAAACTGTTTAAACTCAAAACTCAAAGTTGAGGCTGAACTTGAGTGCGATGAGCCTCTCTGTAGTGAGGAATGACCCTTTCAACCTTGGATTGTTAAACTGGCACCACAGGGCGCTTCCTGAGAGTCACGGCGGCGTAGTCTCCAGGAGTTTGAGTTCATAAGCTGCTCTGCTACCTCTTGTGCAAAAAATGCCGACCCACAGAAAATTATTCTGAGTGGCACCTCGGAGAGTCTGGGAAAACCGCGGGGGTTTGTATTAGAACCTTGCTGGGACTGTTTTTTGAACGTAATAATGGGATTCAACGCTTTTAGTTTTTGTCTGTGAGCACTCCATATTGAAACGCCTTGTGGAGAAACCTGAGGTATGCAGTATAAGACACAAAAATTACAAACAAGAGGAATTAGAAAGGCAGCTGACACCGCATTAAGGACGCCAGCCGCTCCCAGTCTCCTGTAGTGCAGAGATGGAGACCAAGCGCGCCCGAGCTCCCGTAGCTCCCACGTCGACAGTGTGGGACGGCCAAGGCGGAGTTATGCTCCAGCGCTCTTTTGCCTCCTTTTTTCATGGTGTTCAGAGTAGAGAGCCTGACTTCCGAAAACACTTAAGACTGTGCTTTAAATGCTTTATTTTAAAATGAATGTATCCAGTTATTGGTCTTCACAACGTGTTTTTATTAGAGATCACTTCCAACACCAAGCAAAATTAGGAAGTGATGAAATTTCTCTTCCGCCTCTTCCCAGCTCTGCTGGGCACCCTTTGTCCTGCACCCTGTACTGTCTGGGAGTCAGTTATGTCTTCACATAAACTTTAATTATGGATCTCAGCCCATCTAAACATCTAGAGAAAAAAACTTCAAAAATTCCTTGCCTAACTGCCAAATATCTTAAGGCAGAGTAGTGTGGTTTTTACCAGCATGTAGGTTGGAGCCAGCCAGATATTTTGAAATTAAAATGTTTGCCACATTTCTTCCTTGTGTGCATTTGAGCAAGTTACAAATGGCCTTAAACTGCAAATTGTCTTTGAACCATTCTAGGGGTTAATATACATGTGTTGGCCTTTACATGTTTGCTGTTATCATTAAAGACTGGTCGCTTGTGCACCCGTGTAGCCTCAACCAATCAGCATATTGCTTAGCACCTGATTCGTGCTTAGTAAGTATCTGTTAATCATTGGATACTGTAATCAGCTTTTTCTAATGGATAATGCAAATGTTAACAGAAAAAAAAATCCAAACTCTGTAAAATAATTTAAAGAGGTTTATTCTGAGCCAAACATAAGTGACTGTCAGTCCAGTTAGCCAAACTCAAGAAGCTTTGAGTAAGTGGAGTAAATGGTCTCAAAGAGGTTGGCTTACAGTTTCATTGTATGCATTTCAGGGACACAGGAATTGCAGGTACAATTACAAATCAATGCAGGGAAGGTATACATTGGTTTCGCCTGAAAAGGTGAGATATCTTGAAGTAGGGGCTTACGGGTTCTATGTGGGTTCAGAGATTTTTTGGTTTGTAGTTAAAGAAATAAATCTTTGTCTACAGGCTTGGGATGTTTTAAACTAAAATAGGAAAGTCTGTTAATCAGAAACAAACGACAGCTATCACTCAACAGATCACTCAAGTGACCTGCTAAGCAAATTGATGGCCTGTAGGTGTAGTTTAAACTTTGCCTTGTATGGCCTTAGGTCTTAATAATAATTTAGTATCTTACAGTCACAAAGAGACTATACTGTCAATCTTACAATCTCTGTTTTAACATTAATACTGGTTAATTGTGTCTAAATTCTAAAAGGGAGGAGGTGTAATGAGGTGTATCTGACCTCCCTTCCCTTCATGGCCAGGAACTGTTTTAAGGTTTTTCTGGAGTTCCTTTGCCAAGAGGGGGTCCATTCAGTTGGCCTGAATTTTATTTTTAGTTTACATAAATCTCTCATGCATTAATGCTGATTCTTAGTGGAAATAGCTTTTCATTAGCATGTTAGTTAAAATAGCTTTTCATTAGCATGTCCTCTTCACTAACCTGGATGTTGCCTCTTTCAGAGGCCCTGGAAACCACACTAACCTTGGTAAGCACCTAGAACACTGCGCCCTGGATCAAGAAGCTATTTCCTAACTGCCCCTTCCCACCCTCACTCCCAGGGTGCAGCCTCGCTGGACAACTGGTCATCAGGAGACAACATGCAAAGTGCTTGGCAGGGATCAGAAAAGCCAGGGGTTGGCAGTGAGAAGATGAAAGAGCACTCAGGGCCATTCATGTCCTTATTACCCTGCAGTCCCCCCTCATAGCCCTTCTGGAACAAAGCAGTTTAAATAAAATGTCAGGCAAAGCTTTTCTTTTCTTCTGTCCACTTCTGTAGCTTCCCCAGGCTACTTTGAAGTCTGGTCTTATTCTCCAGGACTGACACAAGTCGACTTGGACATTTGATATACATTTTTTGTTTGTTTCATCTCATCTAAATCCCTAGAAATGGCCCAGATAATGTCTAACCTTTCTTAACCTTATGTGTAGAAAATTGATGTTATGGACTGTATTGTGTCTCCTCCCCCTAAATAAATATGCTGAAATCCTAATCTCCGAATGTGTCTATATTTGGAGTTAGAGCCTTTAAAGAGATAATTAAAATGGCACTGTGGCTCACACCTGTAACCCTAGCACTCTGGGAGGTGGAGGGGGGAGGACCATTTGAGCCCACAGGAGTTTGAGGTTGCTGTGATGACGCCATGGCACTCTAGCTGGGGCTACAGAGCAAGACTGCCTCAAAAGAAAAACAAAAAGGTAATTAAGTTAAATTGGGACCATTAGGATGTACTCTAATCTAATATGACTGATGTTCTTCTAAGAAGAAGGAAATTGGACACAGAGAAGCACAACAGGAATTCGTGTGCACAGAGGGAAGGCCACGCCAGGACATGGCAAGTAGGTGGTCATCTGCAAGCCCAGGAGAGAGGCCTCAGGAGAAACCAACCCTACTGACACTTCATCTAAGACTTTCAGCCTCCAAAACAGCAAGAAAATACATTTCTGTTCTGTAAGCCACCCAGCCTGTGATGTTTTGTTGTGGCAGCCTGAGCAGACTGATAGTTGGGGACCAAGGAGCCTTGCCCTGTGCGTGCATCTGGCGCTACTGCTGCAAGGAGCTCTTCTTGGCCAAGAGGCATTGCAGAAGGCAGCAGGGAGTGCAAAGCTCTCCAGGATCGGAATATAATAGCTGCTCAGGCTCGCTTATGCAATAATTGCAATTAGCCAGCACCACAACTTTTCACTAAATTCAGGCAGACAGATGATTGGCAACAAATGCTCTGCATTTAAATATCACCCAACGCTCTATGCAGGGCCCCACAGCATTACTAAGCTGTGTTCCAGCAGAGCTGTCTATTTAAAAAAAATTCTCCATAGGGTTATTTCTACTGTAAAACTAAAGACACTTTTTTCTACTCTGGAAAAATCTCTCAAGTCATTACATGCCACTGAGGAAGGGTTCGTGTGCTGACCACCCTCTCCTGCCCAGGGTGACCTCATACCAGACGCTCCCTCAGAACTCACACGGTGTGCAGACTTCCAGATCTTTCCAAAGCTTTTTCAGGATGCTTTCCTCTTTACTCTGCCCTCCGGTCCTTCCTTATGGGGATTCTACACCTGCAGATCCCACCTTCACAGATCCTGAAACTGTAAAGTTGGACCTCAATAACTGTTGCCACCTTCAGTCTGTTAAAACCCTAACCTGGGCCGGGCACGGTGGCTCACGCCTGTGATCCTAGCACTCCGGGAGGCCGAGGCAGAAGGATCACTCAAGATCAGGAGTTCAAGACAAGCCTGAGCAAGAGCGAGCCCTGTCTCTACTTAAAATAGAAAGAAATTAATTGGACAACTAAAAATATATAGAAAAATTTAGCTGGGCATGGTGGCACATGCCTGTAGTCCCAGCTACTCGGGAGGCTGAGGCAGGAGGATCACTTGAGCCCAGGAGTGTGAGGTTGCTGTGAGCTAGGCTGACGCCACGGCACTCTAGCCAGGGTAAAAGTGTGAGACTCTGTCTCAAAAAAACAAAAACAAAAACAACAAAAACCCCTAACCTGCAAGGCCCTAGTCCTATTAAAACATTCTGATATTTTCAATCCCATGCATCTCAAATTCTCCTTGATGATATTGACATAAGAGTTAAATAACAGGCACTATAACAAAGAAATCTAAACTGAGTTTTATTCTTTTTTTCTCTCTCTGTCTCTTTGTAATTCAGAATATTATGGGAGTACAAGTGTTTTGGTTATATAAATTGCCATTGTACCATTTCAGTCAAAGCCACAAGTGTGCCCCTCCCCCAGATAGTGTGCACTGCCCCCATATAGTACGAATTCACCCATCCCTTCCTCCCCCGTCCTACCTGCTTGATTTTCGATGAATGTTATTTCCATGTGTCTCCATAAGTGTTGATCTGTTAGTTCCAATTTAATGGTGAGTACATGTGGCGTTTGTTTTTCCATTCTTGTGATACTTCATAAAGTGAGTTTTATTCTGAGCCAAGCTTGAGGACTGCTAGCCTAAGAGATCAGACTCAATGTGAACCAAGAATGTGTCCTGGAGTGGGCTGCACTAGACACAGCATCCATGCGTTGCCAGTCCATAGAAATGGGGGAGGGGCAGTGAAGCAAAGGTGACTTTCTTGTGATTCTGGCTGGTGCTCAGTGACAATGCACGGTTAATGAGCACAGGGCAGAAGGCTAACAAACATGCAGGCGGCTAGGGTCTGCAGAGAGGAGGTTGGTTCTTTCCTGCCTTGTGCCTCACCTGACAGGCAAGGCTGTCACCCATGCGCCTCAGTGACTTGTCTGCCAGGCGCCAGCCCGTGGGCAAGGCCGAGTTTCTCTTGCCCACATGTCCACACTGCAGCTGTCTCAGACCACTGAAAAACTTTTTCTTCAGATTTTTTCTTTTTCTGACAATTCTCCCCTTTTGGTCAAAATCTTCCAAAGGAGGACTTTGAGGTCCAAATAATTTGAGGGATTTAAAGTGGAGGGACCTGGAGCTGTTCTTGAGAGGCGATGGCGTGTTGTGGGGTCAGCAGCATCGGTGAGGAGCCTCGAGGGGTCTGGTGGAAGCATTGAAGTCCTTTTAATAAACCTTGGGAGTTTGGAGATAAAAACCAAAATGGCCCTTCCTCAGATGGTCAGAAATAGAGGAAAAGAATGTATTAGGCAAACAGGCAGTAGAAACTGCCTTTCCATACATTTTATGTACATTAGTTCAAATTGATGAACTAGCATAATTTTAGCTGGAGTTTTATTTCTTCAGCAACATCTGTAACCCCTGCATTTATAATATTTGTAACATAGAAATATTAGAAAAATAATAATGTAGTGAATTACCAAGAGAGGTCCACTGTGGAAAAGACAATGAAAAAAGAAACAAAGTATCACAGAAAAGAGCCCTGAACATACATTTTGATAGTCTGTGACTAGTACCTTAGTTTTATTTCTTTTTGTTTGTTTGTATTTGTATCTTATGATGTCTTTGATTGGATTCATTTAGAACTATGATTCATTAATTACTTATTATTATTTTTAATACAGAGTCTCACTTTGTTGCCCAGGCTAGAGTGAGTGCCATGGCGTCAGCCTAGTTCACAGCAACCTCAAACTCCTGGGCTCAACCGATCCTTTTGCCTCAGCCTCCTAAGTAGCTGGGACTACAGGCATGTACCACCATGCCCGGCTAATTTTTTCTATATATATTAGTTGGCCAATTAATTTCTTTCTATTTATAGTAGAGACGGCATCTCACTCTTGCTCAGGCTGGTTTCGAACTCCTGACCTTGAGTGATCCTCCCGCCTTGGCCTCCCAGAATGCTAGGATTACAGGCATGAACCACCGCACCTGGCCTAACTGATGACTTATAATATCTAATTGTTCATTCAGCCATTTATTTTCCGCTGGGAGTGCAATTTGAGGAAAGTTGAGTTACAATTTCCAAAATATTTGGTTATCAATGTCCTCATTATCGTAAGTGTTGTTTTGTTCTAAAAGTAGCTTCCCTATGAACCCAGTGTTATGCCAAATAGCAGTATGATTTAAATCAAATATTGTCTGGTTGTGAGCAAGTTCTGAAAGAGCTATAGTCACATCTTTTTGGAGACAGCACCATTCTTCCTGAATTTGTTTTACAATCTAGAACTGAAATTGGATTTCAAATATTATTATTTAACATGGCTCATCAACTGTCTATTGGGAAAATATGGTATCATTATCCATGCAGCTTCCAAACCTTACTTTCCTCCTGAAAGAGTATTCCTTCTAATCTACTTTAGATTGATAAGTATCGACTTTTCTTGCAAATGTCTTTTTCATTAAAAGGGCCTCTGATCTATAGGACAAGAAATATTGTAACAAGGTATAAAACAGTCTTCCATCATATCCAAGGACTTTGGATAGTCATCAATCATCTGTATTCACAGTAATGCAGAGACCTATTTGTAAAATATTTAAATCAGTTGTAAAATATTTAAATCATAGCTGAGTGTGGTGGTACACACCTATAGTCCCAGCTACTAGGGAGGCTAAGGCAGGAGGATCGCTTGAGCCAAGGAGTCGAGACTGCAATGAGCTATGATAGAATAACTGCATTCCAGCCTGGGTAACAGAAACCCAGTCTCCAGAAAAAAAAAAAAAAAAAAAAAAAGATTAACAACTGCCTAACCAAATATGATGGAATTTGGGAGAACTTCCTGGATGTGTTTTCCCACATGGTGACCCCAATAGTACATTATACCTGAAAAGAAGGTGCCATAGGCTATAAGAATATTGCACTAATTCTGAGAAGCTGATATCAAGGTCCCAGTGTCTTGATATTGAAACATAAAGGTGTATCCTACTTCCATATTGGTTAGATTAGCAGATTCCCAGTAGGAGGAATGGGGATCAAATAAAGGAAGGGGAGTTACCAGACATCAGTCGTCGGAACAAGAAAATACTAAAACAAAAGGTATAGGAAGGTATTTGTGGAAGAAACTCATCCTAAGGTCAGGCCTGTCCTGGTATCTTGGGATAGCTGATTACCTCAGATGCTATCTTTTTCTCATCCTTGGAGGAGTTGGGAATCTTAGAGATCTTTAGTTGGGGGTCTCCAGCAGGCTTAAAACTCTGTTCAGGTGTTAGGGCTTTTTTTTTTTTTTTTTTTTGCGACAGAGTCTCACTTTGTTGTCCAGGCTAGAGTGAGTGCTGTGGCGTCAGCCTAGCTCACAGCAACCTCAAACTCCTGGGCTTGAGTGATCCTTCTGCCTCAGCCTCCCGAGTAGCTGGGACTACAGGCATGCGCCACCATGCCCGGCTAATTTTTTATATATATATATCAGTTGGCCAATTAATTTCTTTCTATTTATAGTAGAGACGGGGTCTCGCTCTTGCTCAGGCTGGTTTGGAACTCCTGACCTTGAGCAATCCCCCCGCCTCGGCCTCCCAAGAGCTAGGATTACAGGCGTGAGCCACAGCGCCCAGCCAGGTGTTAGGGCTTTTTAAAATGGGAAATGTAAAGGCAG